TTTAGGAATTGTAGCTAACTAATACTTCTGCTTATTAAAGGGAAAGGGTAACTGATACTTCTAAGTGAAAAGAGAATAAAATTACATTCAATTTTGTAAAGCTGTTGGCTTTTTTATTTTATTTTATTTTTTCAATCATTTTTCTAGTCCTCATCCTTGTTTTGCTTTGTGTATTCTCCTCTCTATTTGCTTACACTCCTGTAGATATTTACCCCCAATTTTCCTTTCTTCAGTTTGAATTTTATTTTCAGTATAAAATCTTAATGTTGTGCTATGGTGTTGAAATGTGACATTACAGAATTTTTTCTCTTTAACTGATAGTTTCTGTGAAATTTGATTATGTTTCTAAGCTATATTGACTTTTGTTTAGTGATCATACTATCAAGGTCTGGAGTTTGGATGGTCTCTCGGATGATGCTGAACAGCCTGTTAACTTGAAAGCTAAAGCAGTTGTAGCTGCCCATAGTAAAGATATAAATTCTCTGGCTGTAGCACCAAATGATAGTTTAGTTTGTAGTGGTTCTCAGGTCAGTACTTTACTGGAACTGCTTCTTTAACGTTGAATCTATTTTAGTTTTCCTTCAGTTACAATTTGTCTTATATTTAATAAGAAACTGTTTATCTTATTAATTTTTGGCCAAATATAAAATTTTAGCTACTTCAAGGAAAAGGGTTTTGTAGAATATTTGTTCCTAAAGATAAAGTGGGAAAAAACTATGAAAGTTATTCATATTAGTTAATTTACTCCCATGTGGATTCTTTTGTTGATCAGGATCGCACTGCTTGTGTTTGGAGGCTTCCTGATCTGGTATCTGTTGTTACACTTCGAGGGCATAAAAGAGGGATTTGGTCTGTAGAGTTTTCACCAGTTGATCAAGCTGTCATAACAGCTTCTGCTGACAAAACAATAAAGATGTGGTCTATATTAGATGGTTCATGCCTGAAAACATTTGAAGGGCACACATCAAGTGTACTAAGAGCATCTTTCCTCACTCGTGGTGCCCAAATCGTTTCTTGTGGTAATGAGGCTAGCTGTTGCTTGCTTTACTTGTCTGTGTATTTTGATGACATATTCAATGAACTGAATAATTACTTTTAGGTGCTGATGGTTTGGTAAAGCTGTGGATGGTCAGAACTAGTGAATGTATTGCTACATATGATAAGCATGAGGACAAGGTTCAGAGTGCTCTCCCTCTCTTTTTTTCTAATTTTTTTTTTTTTTTTTGGAAGAATTATTATCTTTGGTTATTTCATTCTGTAGAGGTAGATTTTGCTATTTTGGATCTTATTGATAAAATGTTAATAAACTATATGCATTTCTGGTTGATTGTTTGCGTAAAATTGAAGAGGCCATTGAATCCATGTGCTTCTTTATTATCTTTGGGTATGAGTTAAATGTCCTATGTTGGGTTGTAGATGGTCCTACTTGGGTTTTTCTAATCAATTGGCATGGGTTACATATATCTTGATGGCTTCGTAGGGTTTCCAGTGACATTGGGATCGGGATGCTATCTCAGTTTAAATGTAGTATATGACCACCATCATTAGTGGCTGAAATCAAGGGTAATGCCAGTAGAACTCTAGGGACTGCAGGTTAGATTAGAATAGGTAATAACCCTACCCAGATCCTAGTTTAGAACTGGAAATTTCATCATGAGTTCTCCTAAAACCTCAGGCAGAATGAATCCAGTCCAGAAGTGTTTTTATCTTTAGATGGTTATCTATAAAAATGCACTAGCTCACACATATCACACCTGAATGTTACTCTTAGTTCTTAAATTGAATAACTTTTTCATATCACCATACAGTGTATATCTCTTTGTAATTCTCCACTAATATACATCTTATTTTTCTTATATTCATGATCATAAATTATATCCCCAAGTTTATATTCTAAATGCCATTGGAAATGCTCTCGGAATTTTGTATTTGCGGTAAATACTTTGTGCTCTTTTCCTCCAAAGAGATATTGGAAGTGAAATTTTTTTTTTTTTTTTCCCTATCTTTAATATATTTATGTTGATTTCCGGTATAACCTATTTGATTCAGTTGAAGGCTTCTTTATGCTTCTTTATTTATTTATTTATTTTTATGTCTCTCCCTTTTCTTTTGCTTATAAGGATTTGACTTTGCAGGTTTGGGCCTTGGCTGTTGGGAAGAAGACAGAAGTGTTTGCAACTGGTGGCAGTGATGCACTTGTCAATCTGTGGCATGATTCAACCGCCTTGGATAAAGAGGAAGCTTTCCGTAAAGAGGTCAGTCATGACATCCATTTTTTGAGTGCCTTTTTCTTACACTCTTAGCATTTTCTTTAGACATATTAGAAAAAAATGCTGCTTGTGTCATCTTATGTGTTGTTCATTATTATGATTATACTTGAGATATTTAGAAGTTGTGATGTATGTTGTATATGCTTCTAGCATTGATACTTGAATTATTGTGAGATAGTCTTCTCTCTCTATTTCTTAACAAGGAAAATAATTATGGAGCAAAAAGGATTGGCGGGCAGAGCCTTAGTTTAGCTGGCTCCATAGTTTTAAGGCTGTCCCATTGTAATATGAATGCTTGATGTAACATGAACCTAGGCATTGCGCTAGGAGAAGTGCATTGCTATTCAACCTCCTTTCATGGGGAAGATTGTTATAAGAAATGGAAATGTCACATAAGTCTAATAAGAATGATCCATAATCTCAATCAAGATAATTGCACTTCTCACCTAGTAAAAATTTCAGTTGTCATAATAGTTTTGTCACCTCCACTTGCTCTTCCTTACTCAAGTATAGTCTATACCAACTTGGGTAAAATGTTGCTTATTCTAATGCGATGACATCTAAAGCATTCAAAAGGTGCTTTATTTTGTATGGTTGGCCCTTGCATTGTTCACAATTTAGTAGATAATTTCTTTATTCAATCTGTGGGTCCATACTGAATCAGTAAAAGTTCTGCTTGTACATTTTTACTAGAATTTGGTTTTTCATGTTGGATGTATTTGATTTTTCATCATCTTGGCAATAATCAGTAGTGTATCAGACTATGGGTTTCTGACCTAAATCTGATTACTAAAGAGTGTACTTTCCCTTTTGAATTTCTGTTAAAGTTTCTAGCTGTAATGGCCCTTAACGTTTCTGTTACAACATTTCTTGTTGTTACAGGGTGTTTTTCTATAATCACGTAATAACATTTGGACATGATCTATTTTGTTATCAATACAGGAAGAAGGTGTTTTAAGAGGTCAAGAACTAGAAAATGCAGTGTTGGATGCCGACTACAGTAAAGCAGTTCAAATAGCATTTGAACTTCGCAGACCTCATAAACTCTTTTAGTTATTTTCCAGTCTTTGCAGGAAGAGGGAGGCAGAACATCAGGTAGAGAAAGCCCTTCAAGCACTTGGCAAAGAAGAGTTTTGTCTACTTCTGGAATATGTTCGAGAATGGAATGCAAAGCCAAAGTTGTGTCATGTTGCGCAATTCATACTTTTCCGACTTTTCAACATCCTTTCTCCGACAGAGATTATTGAGGTAATGGTGTTTTATGCATTCTTGTTCTGGTTTTTCTTGAACAGTTGAGTGACAGCATATGGTAGGATATGTCGCATAGCTGGTCTCTCAGACTTCATCACGTTGCTGTGAGTTACTAGTTATGTTTTGGAGGATCCAAATTTAATAATCATAGATCTTGGCTTGGGATAATTGAGGGTGTCATTGTCCTGTCCTGACTTATTTCTGAGTTGCTTACGGCAAACACCAGTTCAAGTATTGATGACAAATTACTTGAGTTTATAGACTGTTTGCTGGAATGAAAATGATAATTTTTTGTAGAAAAGGCTCAATTTTGAAAAGATTGTTCTAATAAAGGAAAATGAAAATGAATAAGATCATGGATTTTGCATTTAGTATACTATTACACCTTTGATCCCGGTAAACACCCTAATGCTCAAGGATCAATGATTTGTTGCCTGCGTTATCGGAGTGTTGAACAAAGTATTTCTGGTGGTCTCTTGAGCATTTCCTTATTACCTCTTTGATGCAATTAATGTGCAGATTAAAGGCATTTCTGAACTTCTGGAAGGTCTCATCCCATACACTCAGAGGCATTTCAGCAGGATAGATAGACTTGTGAGAAGCACATTTTTATTGGACTATATCTTAACTGGAATGTCAGTTATCGAACCAGATATCGACGCAAGAGAATTAAAACCCAAATCCTTGGCACACTCTGATGTCAAGGACACCGATCATGTGGTTCTAGAAGGAAACATTGACGAGGAGCAAACAGAGTCTAAATCGAAGTCTGCTTCAAAGAAACGGAAATCGAACAAACCTCGAGAGAGTTCAAGTAAGAAGGTAAAGGGTTCATACAACACAAAATCTGGCGCTATTTCATTGCAAGCATAGCAGGTATTTTGGTAGTTCATTCTTAATTAAAATTAGTGTTGTTGCCTTGTATTTTATTAGTCAGTTCATAAAAAATGAGTCGTCACAACTCACAATTGCCTTTGCAATCAATTTTGTCTCTCGATACTTCATTTATTATTATTATTTCGGTGATTTAAAAAGCTTTTGATTACCCATCTAGATGAAATTTAATTACGTCTTTTCGTTTTCAAAAACAAGAGATACTAAAAATTTTATGAGTACATGTTTGGTTTTACTGAATTAAAATGCTTTACAAATACAATCTTAAAATTAGAAAACAAAAAGAGTTGTTTTCTCAAATTTTAATGGGAAATACTAAACTTACCGATTTTGTATACCGAACGGCGAATGCACATCTCTGATTGATGTGGAGTGCGATGTGGGTAGTCTTCACCTGACCATTTCGTATTCCACGTCAGTCGGAATGTCTATTCAGTATGCAAAATCGGTAAGTGTATTGTTACCCATTTTTAATAGTGCTTTCGTTCATAATCGCCATGTTTTTTCGTAATTGATAAATAACTAACTTAATTCCAGCTCTAACAAAATATAACTATAAATTAAACAATTATTATACAACCCAAATAATCATATCTATAACTTTAAATTACATCGATATTATTTCTTTCAATCTTGTTGATGAGCTTCAAGGGCCTCATCATTTCATTGTCTTCATGACCCAGGATCTGCATTTTTGTATTAATAATCTAACATTAGAGAACTAAGTGATAGAATTTGAGAAATATTATACAAATTCAGCTAAAATTTGAAAGAATAAAACCTTAAAAGATGAAAGTGATACTTACGTGACAATGGTACACGTATCCAGGCTCTTCGGTTGCATCAAACGGATACGATACATTCGAATGTATATAAGCAAATCTCACTAGTATTTTCGTCACATATCCTGGCAATATCTTGTACACGTTCTTCCACCCCTTCTCATGTGCCGGCACCTCTATCTTCTTTCCACGTGCATATTTATTGATGTGGCACTCAATCGCATCGTTTAGTTTTATCATACACGTTTTGAACTCCACTCTTTCAACCAGCTCCGTCTGATCCAACACCGCAAATAATCCCAGATGAATGTGGAATGGGTGATTATCTGGCGTTAGATTGATCACATTCCAAACTTCGGTAGACCCGACTACAGGTGATTCAGTCANCTTACGTGACAATGGTACACGTATCCAGGCTCTTCGGTTGCATCAAACGGATACGATACATTCGAATGTATATAAGCAAATCTCACTAGTATTTTCGTCACATATCCTGGCAATATCTTGTACACGTTCTTCCACCCCTTCTCATGTGCCGGCACCTCTATCTTCTTGCCACGTGCATATTTATTGATGTGGCACTCAATCGCATCGTTTAGTTTTATCATACACGTTTTGAACTCCACTCTTTCAACCAGCTCCGTCTGATCCAACACCGCAAATAATCCCAGATGAATGTGGAATGGGTGATTATCTGGCGTTAGATTGATCACATTCCAAACTTCGGTAGACCCGACTACAGGTGATTCAGTCACGGCCTCTTCGTACGATTTTCCATTGACGTAAAAATGAGTGGACTTGTTAATGTCACTGACGTACTGGTACATAGCAATGTATCGTGTGTCCAATCCACTGGATAAATCAGGTGATGGGTATTTTATCAATTTGCTGGGTACACGCCACGTTTCACTCTCTTGATTTTTCTGTATAATGAATTTCATGATCTTACCGTTGGCTTCGCTGACCGGATGACCTGATGGGTAAGGATACCGCGCATCATTTGCCAGAATGACAAAATCTGTCTTTGACTTTGAAAAGTCAATGACCACGTCAGCAATCTCAGATGGCGCCAGGAGGGTGTCATTTGTCATAACCGGTTCTTCGAGATATGCTGAGTCAGATGCCACGTGGGTGAATCCCAGATCGTTGGTGAAGAATAACCTCAAGTATCTAGCATTGCAGGCATTGAGTATACGGAACCTGTATTTACGACGTCGTACTGTCATACGTGGCCACACTTTCCCATTCACTATGATTGTATCGCCGAAATACTCAGGTCGCCACTGTGGATGTATGGAAGGGTTATTTCCAGTGGAATTCATATATATCGTACCATCCGTACGGAAGCTACGATCAAACACAATCAGCGGTCGATCGAACTCATCACCGCTTGGGAGTTCAAGTGGGGCCTCCAGGTCATGATCACGGATAATGTAGGCCCCATTCAAGCCAGCCAAGAGGTTGACTCTAGTCAAACCCATTGCGTGATCATGGTACCATAAATTACCTGGCTGTTGCAAGTTGCGGTAGTGATAAGTTTTTCTGGACCAGGTGGGTCCCTTTTCTTCAAATCTGACGGTGAACCATGAGTTTGGGTTTCCATCACTCGCGGGTTCATCGATGGCACCATGGAGGTGTACCACAGTAGGGATGCCCTTCTTGGTTGAAGGAACGGCAGTGAGGATTGTCGGGTCCCACGGAAGTATGTGTTTTGAAGGGAGATGATTTTGCCACGTCACGTATGTGTCAATGCCATGGAGGGCCTCGATCGTTGGACCAGGGACAGACGCTGTGTGCTTTGATGTACCGTATGCAAACACTGGTGTTGGCCGAAGGTCTCTGTGGAATTTCTGCATTTGGACATAGATTTTAAAAAGAAAATATTAATTATCAAAGAATATTTAGACCTCGGATATTTGATTGACTACCAAAAACCCCCCTCATGTTTGCAAAATTCAGAGAACAATTTAAAAAGTTCCTAAGAGCTAAAACTTGTCTCCTAGAAATCATCTAAAACCACTACAAAATAGAACCAAATCTAGCCAGAAAATGGAAGAAAAATTAATTACACTTACCCATTTCTTCATGAACATGCCAATGTTGAGAAACTTTGGCTTTGGAACGGCATTGACGATATCAAAACCTAGGATTTGAGGCATATCTGGAAGCTCATCAACAAACTTCTCCAACTGGGTTGGATTTATTAGCCCTTCTTCTTCAGTCAAACCTGAGGTGACTACAGCACCAAATAAAGCTGAAAATGTGAAGTAAAGGACCAGAGTTTTCTCCATTGTTGCCTCCTTCTGGTGGCTTCATGCAGGAAGAAAGAAAGAGAGAAGAGAGAGACAGGATTCCTGTTACAATATTTTGTGCTTTTAATATAATTTAAAAGAGTTCTCTAAACATAAATTGATAGGGCAAAGACAAAATATTTATTTATTTTAATGTAAATGAGTTCTCTTAATCTTATGGGCAGCCATATTTCTAGAAAAAAGAAAAGGTAAAAAGACTGTCAATTTCCAGGGCACGCATGAGCATAACCACCAGTTCACCACTTACCCTTTATTCAATTTTGCATTTCGTGGCAGAAATAGCTTTATTTAAACTTATTTGGTACTTTATATATAAAATAAATAAAAAGGCCTGAATTTTTCCAAAACAAAAATGGCCTCTGGCTTAAGTGCTTCTGTAACTTTTTGCAAAAGCACTTGTAAATTTGTTCTATATAAGTTGCTTCTTTTAGATCAAACTGCTTTTTTCCCATCATATTTTTCTTTTCCAAAGTATAGCATCGACGAAGAAATTAAATTCCACTCCAAACCATAGTCTCTAGATAAGCATTTTTATAACTTTTCGCAAAAGCACTTTTTATTTTAGATAAACTGTTTCTTGTCCATATAATTTTAATGCCAAAATGAACCTTCTACATCAAGCAAAATCTATATAAAAATAATGATTTAATAAAATAGGAGATTAACAGTTAAAATGTCAATAAAAGGGTAAATTTGGAAATTACTAAGGTTTAATAAGAAACTTAGCGGACTTTAATCAGAAGTGAACGAACAATATCATTTAATAGATTAGTCGTGTAAATTCTTGATTAATGGACCGAATTAAGCAAGGCCTAAATACCAAACCAGACCCAAGCCCAAACACAAACACAAACCCGAGCCAGGGCCCGAGCCCATTTGTCTCACCCACCAACTCGTTCAAAAATCCTCCCAATATTCGCGGCAAAGTTCTCTTATTCTTCTTCAACATAACTAACCAAACCGCCCCTCAAACCAATCTCCAAACCAATGGCGCAACTCACAGAGACTTACGCCTGCTCGCCATCCACCGAGCGTGGACGCGGCATCCTCATCTCGGGCGACTCGAAATCCGACTCAATTCTCTACTGCAACGGCCGCTCCGTTTTGATCCGGTACTTGGACAGGCCGCTCCACGTGGAGGTCTACGGGGAGCACGGGTACCCCGTCACCGTCGCCCGGTATTCCCCCAACGGAGAGTGGATCGCCTCTGCTGACGTGTCCGGGACGGTCAGGATCTGGGGGACTCACAATGGGTTCGTGCTTAAAAACGAATTCAAAGTTATTGCGGGTCGGATCGATGATCTGCAATGGTCGCCCGACAGTATGCGCATTGTTGCTTGCGGTGATGGAAAGGGAAAGTCGTTTGTTCGCGCTTTCATGTGAGTTCATAAGAAGTGCTTTTGAAAAAAATTGCTTTTAATTTTAATTTTAATTTTTTAAAGTGTTTTTTAGCAACAGTACCAAACGCATCCTAATTGTTTGATAGTTGATTATATAAATTTCTGTAATTGCAAATGTTTAGGTGGGATTCAGGGAGCACTGTAGGAGATTTTGATGGCCATTCAAAGAGGGTTTTGAGCTGTGCATTTAAGCCAACAAGGCCATTTCGAATTGCCACTTGTGGGGAGGATTTCTTGGTCAACTTTTATGAAGGTCCACCTTTTAAGTTCAAGCTATCTCACAGGTTGCTAAATTTTTAGCAATGGCTGATCATATTTATTATTGCTTTTATAGAAAAACTTAAGTTTAAATTTTATATTTCAACAACTGCTTTCATGTACTTTAAGTGATTATCAATGGTTCTTCTCTGGGGTCTTCAGGGATCATTCAAACTTTGTCAACTGTATTAGATTCTCTCCAGATGGGAACAAATTAATCAGTGTAAGCTCTGACAAGAAGGGTTTAATATACGACGGGAAAACTGGGGAAAAGATTGGAGAATTGTCCTCGGAAAATGGTCATCAGGGCAGCATTTATGCAGTTAGCTGGAGTCCTGATAGCAAACAGGTTAGCAATTTGTTGAGTTTTGAATCAGCAGCTTGAATGCATTCTGTTTTGATACATTCTAAATTCCTAATCTGCATATTTGATGGAATTCAGGTTCTTACAGTTTCTGCTGACAAGTCTGCCAAGGTGTGGGAGATTTCCGAAGATGGTAATGGAAAGGTGATTAAAACATTGGCTTCTTCTGAATCCGGTGCAGTGGAGCACATGCTTGTTGGATGCCTTTGGCAGAATGATCATCTTGTTACCGTTTCCCTTGGTGGCAGAATCAACATTTTTTCGGCTCGTGATCTTGATAAAGACCCTATTTCATTTTCTGGACACGTGAAGAATGTCAATGCATTGACTATGCTCAAAAGCAGCCAAAAGATGATCTTGTCCAGCAGCTATGATGGACTTATGATTAGATGGATACAAGGCGTTGGGTACAGTGGTAAATTGGAGAGGAAATATAGTGCTCAAATCAAATGTTTAGCAGCTGTTGAAGAGCAGATTGTAACATCTGGATTTGATAACAAGGTAACAAGTTTCAAGCGGATGAATGCAAAAGCATGCTTTTACAGTTTTAGTTTTTACATGTTTCAAAAGGGGCATAGTTTCAGGTTTACAGGTTCATCTCTTGTAGATTGATGCTTGTGTCTCACATATGAACTTGGACTAACTCAACTGCACACTTTATTTTGTCTATAAGAATTTCTTCATATACTCAAATGCTACTACTCATTTAAGGTTTGGAGAGTTCCTCTGTGCGGAGAGGAATGTGGAGCTGCGGAGCATGTTGATATTGGCAGTCAACCGAAAGACTTTAGCCTTGCCCTTGGCTCCCCTGAACTGGCTTTGGTTTCGACTGACACCGGCGTTGTTTTGCTTAAAGGTTTGGAAGTGTTGTTAAACATCAAACTTGGGTTTACTGTGACAGCAAGTGCGATTGCCCCTGATGGAACCGAAGCCATTGTGGGTGGTCAGGATGGCAAATTGCACATCTATTCTGTGTCAGAGAACGTTCTTAAAGAAGAAGCAGTTCTTGAAAAACATAGAGGTGCAATTACTGCAATAAGATATTCACCAGATGTCTCCATGTTTGCTTCAGCTGATGGCAATCGGGAAGCCGTAGTTTGGAACCGTGCCTCCAAAGAGGTAATTTAAGTTCATGAATGATATTTATTGTTTATTTTAAGCCCTTTAATCTCGGGATCCTTGTTAACACACTGATAATAGTTTAGCATTTAAAATTTTCTCCTAGAATCCAAACCACTGCATTTCTTTATCTAGACATTGTAGTATAATACTATAATATGAGTTATAAAAAAAGCTACAACAGTATGAAACGTAACTCTTGGCCGTCTATGTTCAAAACCGTTTGGTCCACCAATACATTTCAAATGACAAAACTTTCATGTTAACTATGAAAATGCTTTTTCTGTAATCATATGCATGTACATTCACCAGTAAGAGCAGTGTTAAATAAATGACATTTACATTTCAATTGTTTTGCCTTTTCTTTTCCAATAAAATTACACTTACAACTTTTTCATACAACTTCCTTATACAACCTTGACGTGGTAGCTCGTGATTGATCAGCTCGCATTTGGATAGACAGGACCCACTGTGAACTGACCAATCGTGAGCTGTCACATCAGGATTATATGAAAAAGTAAAAGTTGTAAGTGTAGTGGTGCTCTCTCTTTTCAATGTCATATTTTCCATTCTTTATCTATCGAGCAGCACTACACTTACAACTTTTTCATACAACTATGATGTGACAACTCGCAATTAGCCAGCTCGTAATGGGTCCTGGCTGTCCAAAAACAAACTGACTAATCACGAGCTGCCACTTTAGGGTTGTATAAAAAAGTTCTATGAAAAGTTTTAAGTGTAGTTTTATTGTTATCTACCTCACGTTTATGAGATTTTTTTCTTGCAGGTGAAGCTTAATAAGATGTTGTTTCACACTGCTCGCATTAACTGTGTGGCTTGGTCTCCCAATAGCGCAATGGTCGCCACTGGATCTCTTGACACTTGTGTCATCATCTATGAAATTGGGAAGCCTGCATCAAGCCGCATAACCATAAAGAATGCTCATTTGGGTGGAGTGTATGGCTTGGCTTTTACTGATGATTCCAATGTGGTGAGTTCAGGAGAGGATGCCTTTATACGTGTATGGAAGGTAGCATCAGAATAAGAAGAGTACTGCCTCCCATATGCTTAATGCAGGTTTGTGGCTAGAAGTTTGTAAATGAACATTGATATTAATAAATAAAACTTGTCATAAAAATTAGAGACCAAATACGTGAAGGGCATTTGAGAAATTTATTCACATATAAGTTTGAGTTATTAGTTAAGATGCTTGGTGAATTAGCTTATCATGAAGTTTCATATTAACAATTTAATTACCTTGCACAAACCATTAGGTGGTACGGAGGATACATGTAATAAATAAGAATGATGTTTAAATCCACATATGTTTTGCAAGAAGAGAATCTTTGGTTTACTTTAGATTTTCCTATATTAAACTATATTTAAATTTCCATGTTGCAGGATGCAAATTCCATGCAAAAATGGTGCCAAGTTTAAGAGTGAAAGCAGAGAACAGTGCTGCATTGGTATTGCATTACTTAAATATGCCACATTAACATTTTTTTATGCTTTGTTTCATTATGGAATATGAGATATCCTTCAAATTGAGGTTGGTTTCTATTGACTGTTTGAAGTCAGATTCATAATTGTATTAAAACCATAATTTTGCTTTTTCTGCAGCTTTGGACTTGATTGTCTAAAAGGCTATGCAGTCCATAGGTCTTTTGGATAGATCTTACTGATGTTTGCTGATATTGAGTGTACATTTCTCCGAAATTAACCAATTCTAAGAATGCAAAAACTGCTTGCCCAGAGCACAGAGGATTTCCCCAGAGACACTACTGTGGACCCGATTCTCTGCTAGTGAATTGATGGCAGACTAACAGAATAAAAGGACCCTTTAGTAGATAAAGGTGATTCTGTGTTTCCTCTTTGTTTACTTTGGTAAGAAAATTTGCTCATTATTAATGATAGTTACACTTCCACAAATCTCTTGTACAATGTTGCTTCTAGAGTTGATGGGCTCTTAGATGAGTTTGTTATTGATTTATTAACTTTGGACTTTTTTCTCATGATCGTCGTTGATGAATGAATAAACACCCCTTTTCTGATAAAGGCCATGCAAGCAATCAAATTTTACCCTTCAGATCATTTCTATTTACCACTTTGATTCTTTGTGTTTAACAACTGTTGGTGAACAGAATCAATTTCTGAATTCTGACCGCATTTACTAAATGGGTGATTTATTAGTGGCCACTTGGGTTCCACCACCTTATCTTTTCACCACTTTTTCTGTGCTCTGCACACGATCAGTCTTTTCTTTTAATCATTTTACATGCTTTCTTTAATAATAGTGCCAACTTCATTCGTTTCTGAGAACATCCATGGTCTCTTCTCCATTCTTGCTTTCAATATGAACAAGTCGTGAAGCCTAAAAAATGTGTGCATTTAAGCCATGTTGGGTGATTTGAACTGGGAAAAATTGGATTGCGTTCAAGTTTTTAAGCATAATTTCTAAGCACAGAATGGTGTTTTTATAATTTTTTGTAATGGTCTGAGTACATAGACGTTTGAATTTTGAGTCATGTCCCATCAACAGTAACAGACAGCTACCATCTTCAATCCATTAATCATTAACCTGCGACAAAAGGCGAAAAAGTTGGGAAATGTTTTGCTACTGCTGATGCTCGTGTAACATGTTGGGGCATCAATTTGAATTCCATGAGAAAAATTTTCTAATGATATCAGGCTTGAAGAACATAGATATTTTAGGTTACCAGTTAATTATCTTGTCATTCTAATTTTACATGTTACCCTTGTTCTGTTCAGTGTTCCTCGTTGAAGTTTCATGCTATGATTCATGATGTTCTCAGTTTAAAATCTTCAGTAGAATTGGTGTATTAAGTGTAGACCATGTAAAATACATATAGTTTACATATATAAGATGATTATACGGATGTATGTCTGTCTCATAAGAATTTCTCTAATTTAAATTAAAAATGAGAATAACATATGTATATGTACATGTATTAAATTATAATTTATACATTTATATTCTATTGGATGTTCAGTTGATTGACTTGTGCTCTTTAATTAATTTTTTTCGAATGGATAAGGACATTATCAGCCAGCAATGGATGGAGTTATCTTTAATGTGCGGAAGAACTACTATTCAAACCCTGATAATAAACAATCACTGCCACAAAACTACCTTCATGGCAGAAAAATAAACAATAATTAAACCAAAACAGTAGAATAACTGTTGGGAATAGATTCCCTGCATGCTTCCTTTTTATTATTACACAGCCTGGCTACCATTTCCTGGACCATGAAGTATATTCTTAATCCATATTCAACTCCATTTCTTAGAATGTCTCAGTCAATATACCCTTTTAAATAACTAAACTTGTCATGCCTCAATTCCTTTTAAGGTTTCTAGATTGACTCAGCCATCACTTTCAACTTCACCTTCACCATTTGTTTGAAGTTTTAGTCTTATTACTTTGCATTATGGATTCAATAACACGGCTAATGGGTCTTATTAAGTTTTGTCACAGGTGGGTCAAAAAGGTTTCCAAAATGTTATTGACTGCTGCTGTTCATTTGTTGGCTTTTTGCATACCATCATGTGGCCCCTTACGAAAATTGCAGATTGTTTTTTTAAAATGGCCCTGGCGTGTCGGTCGGACAAACCATACTATCACATAACACGTGCACATCCACACCTAATTTGCACATACTTTTGAGCACTTACGCGAAAAATTGTCAACCCAGCTGTTCCTATTCTCTGCACGTCATCATGTATCTGTGCATTTTACAGTAACCAATGTCACCTTGTCTAGTACTGGAATAAATTATTGGAGCTCCAAACTTGAGCATGGTCCTCAAAACCACACACCAACATTTTTATATATAATATTTAATCTCCCTTTCAGATTTGTTTAGTTAGTATGCTGCAAGTGTGTGTTATTATTCTAGTTCACATTCCACGGTTCTAGTCAGTACACAAAGAAAGAAAAAACAACGCCGGTAGAGCTGGATTGAATAAAAAAGAGAAACACCATCTTAACAACTACACAACACACACGGATAAGATTTACTACGAGTACAACATCATCCAATCTTCAACCTATCCCTTCACACCCTTCAACCTATCCCTTCACACCACACTACTACTGCTAACCCTACTATTACAGAATACTGTCTTCAAAAGTCACTGGTTTCAATAAGGAGAGAATTTTAAGTCAAACATTATTCTCTCTCTTCTACATACTTTTCATTACATTATTGTGCAGCTGCTTGTGTTTTCATCGCTAAACATATGGGATGATGGAGCAGCAGCTGAGTGGTCACCACCATAATTTGGGGGTGGTGGTTGTTCAGGGTATGGATATGGAGCAGGGTTATAATTATATAAGTATCCTGTGTTAGGAGGTATGAATGGGGACCTATGATACATCATTTGGGGTTGTTGTTGCATGGCATGCCTGTTTTGCATGTTCATATTCATCATCATTTGTGATGATGGATGGTTGTATCCACCATTCATGTTCATGAGCATGGATGATGGATATTGCTGACCGGTAGCATAGCCTCCATTTGTCAACCCTCCTCCTGCTACTGAATTCTGGTACCCATTGTTGGGTTGAACGGGTTGAAACCCTCCTAGACCATTGGGATTCCCTCCCAAAACAGCAGCAGTTGAGGCAACATTACCACCATTTCCATGGTAACCACCACGACCACCCATCATGGCATTAATGTCATTTGCCCTTTTGCCATCTCCACCAGCATTGATGTTTCCACCACCACCCAAAACACTGTTCATTTTCAAAGCTGCAATAGTTTTAGGATCAATCCCACTTGGGTTAAAGTTTTTCATTCCTCCCATACCCTGATTTGGGTTCCCTTTCTTTCCAGCATTTACATTTCCAACATTGTTGTTCATTTTGTTAATGTTGGCGCCAGCAGGCAGACCTCCGACACCTTTCTTCGCATTATTTGCATCCATGGCTTGTTGCCTGAGCAAATCAAGTTGACCCAGTTGGTGGTTTGCCTTGAGAAATTGCAACTCATCCTCCTCATCATCTTCATCATCATCATCAAAATACTCATCATCTTCCTCAGACATGAATGCAGGAAACTTCTGCTGGTTTTTGAAGGCCTCAAGCCCCTTCATCAACCCTTGCCTCTGACCTTGATTGTTGTTCTTCTTGTCATCCTTGATGCAGTTGATCTTTTGCTTCTGGTTTTGGTTTTGGTTTTGGTTTTGGTTATGGTTATGGTTTTGATTAGACTTTTGGGACCAAAGCTCTGCATGCTTCCCATTTCTGACCAATTTCTTGATCAATGTTGCAGAATCCACAGTCCCTGAAACTGTGACTTTCTGTTGCTCTGCATCCATATTTACTTGATAAACACCTGCTACAAGAAAGACAAAAACAAAACAGAAAAAACACAAATAAATTAGCCAAACACAAAACATCAGTTATGAAGACCCCCTCGGTTAGAGATCCCTTATACAAACTCTACAACAGTGAAAGTACTTCAATAATTTCTGAATGGGCAAAAAAATTGGTCAGAATCAGAACAGATGAATAATTGCATCCTATGCTAAGCCAAAGTGATTAACTTAGATTACACTACCAACTAAAATACAATACTTAGTTCGGAAATTGGAGTAAAAAAGGTCTCTAGTTGTTGAGAAATACTAGGAAAATGACTTGAAAAGTTTCGAACTTCTGTCTTTTACTTTACCACATTGTAATGGTTTCCAAAGAAAAATGAGAAACTCACTGAAGTGCGTATCTTTTCTTTCCTACATTTTCTTAGTAACCAAACACCAACTTAAAAGAGAGAAAGAAAGGAAAAAAGAAGAGACCAGCACCTTCAATCCTCTGAAGGAGTTTCTTAACTTTCTGCTTACAGCCATCACAGTGAATGTTCACTTTGAGAACACAAGTCTGCAGCAGAATAGAGAGACAGATAAATGGATGATAAAAAGAAACAAACAAAGCAAAGAACAAAAACAAGAAGAAAGATTCTTGACGAAAAGAACACAACAATAATATTTAAAAAAAAAACACTTGAAAGGATCAAAGAGAATGTGGTTAAGAGAGAAAGACCTGGATCTTGAGGAGCTTAAAGTCTTCTTCTTTAGTCATTTATTTTCTTCAGTGGTAGCTAGCTAGCTGTTTTGTTAATGAAAGTGAGAGTGAGACTGTCTTCTCTCAAGAGAGGAAAAAAAAAGAAAAGCAAAATAAATTTAAAAAAAAAAGAAATGAAAAAGTAAACAAACACACACCCAGTAGTGGGAAGGAAGTAGTAAAAACTAAAAAGGGTTGAGTTGCATGTGGTAGAGTGAGTTGTTTTAGCTTTTGGTTTCTAGTTATAAACTAAAAACTTAAGGGTGGTTTCAGATTCTACTTCTGCTCTTCTTTGCTTCTTGTAGTTGTGTTTTCATAAACAAACAAAAGAAAAGCACATAGGCGTTGGAGCTTCAAAGTTATAAAGCAAACACACAACACAAATACATATGCAAATGAAGATGAAACTACAAAAAGGAAAGGGGAAGGGAGAAGACAAAGCAGAGATGATGGAAGGAAGAGAAATGGAAGTCAGAGGAAACTGGAAAGAGTAAAAGGTTGGAGAGAGAAAGAGAGAGAGATGGGGGGTTGTGAAATGATGTGATTTAACGTTAAATACTGAAGGAAAAGATGATCAATAAAAGAAGAACAGCGACTTGACAGCCCCAGACTTCTATCGCTTGTCCCTTCTTTTGTCACTTTTTATTTCTCGTGAAAATGAGAGAGACTGAGAGGTAAGGTAACCATCAACCTCTTTGTTGCTTTATTACATTTACCTCCCTCTAGGTTCTTCAAATTTGCAATTTTATCCTTCATCAAATTTGGAATGGTAGACTATTCTACTACAACCAGTTTTTTTGGCTCTTGGCTATTATATAGTATTGTAACAAATCTATACACCAAATGAGTTAGAGAAATGTTAGCGTTGGTCGAAAGTATGATAATCGTTATCCCTCCTCTTGACACGTGTTCCATTTCAATTTAATATATTGAATTTCGTATAATATGACAAATGTCAAGAAAAGAGTCAAACAATTGTCGCACTCACGATGAAAGGCCGACACTCCTTCGTGGCTATACCCATTAATTAGTTGGGAATGACAAGTTGATTATATTCTCTTCCTTTATTTTTATATAATTATTAAATGTAAAATAAGATGGTTAAAAAAATAACATAAAAGACAGTATACTTAATTAAAAAAAAGAAACTTAGAAAATAAAATAAATTTTTTTTACCTTTAATTAATAAAAACTATTTAAATAAATAGTGAATTAAAATGCACCTTTTTTTTCTATATTAATAAAGTGTCATGAATCATACTTCGCCCTTATTAAAGTAAAGAGTTTCTGGAGATAGATGGTTGATATGTATAAATGTTAGACGATAGATAAAGCTAATCTTTTATTTTAAGTGTTGTAATGAATTTTTCAAACCTAAGAGGGGATACCTGTAATTTACGAAAATATATTTTTTTTTTTTGATGTAGTCAGGTCATTGATAATTGAGCCCAACGGGCCTCTTTTAGCTATGTTGGGAATCGGTTTAATCCTAATCCTAATTTGGGTTTCAATTGGGATTTGCAATTTCTTAAGAGCATGCTCTTATATATTATTTCTTTAATCATTTTTTTTATTATGGATGTAAGGTTTTTTGTTAAAGTATTCTAAAACCCACAAGAATATAGTTTTAATTTTCTAAAAAATTTAAAAAAACAAATGTAGGAAATTATTTATTTTGTACTTATTTCTCTAATTATAATATTTAGGGATATTTGTAAATGCTTTTAAGAGAGCCATGGATCATGTGTTTCTTTACAAAAATCCCTTTTTTCCTAATTATTTTTCTTAATTAAACAAGTGAATATTTTTTTAAAGTATCATTTTCAAAGCTGTTTTGATTTTGAATAAATATATTATAAATATTTTTTTCATAAACTTTAACAATAATATAAAAATATATATATATATATATATCCCAGGTTTTTTTCTTAAAAATTCAAATATGTTAAGGCCAAAAATCGTCCTTGGCTCAAATAGGAAAACGTGCCTGATTGTGTGGAAGAGACCAGGCCCAATCCCTGTTCAAGATACAGCCGACCCAAACCATTTGGGCACAAGCCTCCCATTCCTAGCTCACTTCCTGGACCTATGAGCGAGTTCAGAGCCCACGACCCCCACATATCACTTTTCTATTCCTAATCAATCTCCTATTCGAGATCATTTTCCTGTTCAGATCAATTTCCTGCTCGAAGGTACTTTCATATTCGGGATCACCTTCCTATTCGAACACTGGTGAGACAGGTCACCACCGCCCTAACTCCTCTAGGGTTCGTATTAGAGTCACACTAGGACTCCTACTCCCACCAGGATTGGGAGACCAGACAGTCACTATATAAGCAGGGGCCAGCCCTCTCAGAAGACATATTACATTACACATTCTCACCCGAAGCTCCTACTTGAGAGTTATACATCACTGCCATAGTCACAGTCCCCGACTAGACTTCCGGTAACCTCTCTACTCCCTAGCTCTCACTGAATTAGTCTCTTTCAGCCTTACTGACTTGAGCGTCGGAGTGCCTACAGCAAACACCACCCCAATGTTTTCCGTTCGTTTCACGCACTTGTTTTTCTACGTGTGCAGGTGCAGCGGATTGCTAGTGGCCTTAACCTCATAGGATCATACCCCCCTTCCGTATATGTAGATTTTTACGTCTACAAAATACATTATCAATACATTTTGTTTAATCGGAAGTATGAACCAACTTGCATGCACTTCCATTAAACTTTACACGGATTAACACAAAATCTTACCATAATAATCACCTAGTTATACATATGGGACTCAGGGGATTACATTATCAATGCACTATTTATTCTTGGGTGAAACAATTTTGTATTGTTAACTCCATGAGAACCTTGCCATAATAATTGATAATTATGTGTATGTTTAATTCAATTATTGTTTGTCTCAATTTAATCCTACTATTTTGGGTACAATTATTTATTCTTCAACAAATAGAAAAAATTCTTTGTAATAATTCACATATAAACTCAAAACGTTTTCGTTTTAAGTTATAACATTCTTCAACCAAAATGAAAACTCAAAACATTATAAATAACTTAAAATGTGTAAATTATAAATAACTTAACACGGATCCAATGGCAGACCCAGGATTTTTGTCCAGGAGGGTCTCTGTGGCTCTGTCATTGTTTGTTAAACAATTAGTGAAAACTTTAAAAAATCATCAAACCTTAAGCGAATAAGAAATTTTTTGAGTAAATATGTTGAAAAACCTTTGTTTAATTTTTTATTTTTTATTTTTGGCTTCCAAAGATTATAATATAAATTTTCTTGACTTTAACCTAACATAAGCTAAAGTTAACCCAAATTTAAATCAAGTCAATGTTGTGTTAACTTTTAATATGAATTAATAAAAAAAATGGGAATTTTCTTGGTATAAAAATAGATAGTAACTCAATTTTTTTTAATAATTTTGAATAGCTGAACGATGACGTTTGAAATGTAGGAAAGTGATGGGTAAAGGGTGAAGAATAACTAAGGTTTTAATTCGAGAAAGCAGGAACCTTTTTAGACACATAACACAAAATAAACTCACAAGATTCATGTTTTTTTCCATTAAATTAGAATAAAAAACCTTCATAAAATAAACATAATTCAACCATAAAATAAATTGAATTGAAATGAGCAATACACATATCTAAAACTGATAAAACAAAAAATGGAATTAATTGTGGTGTATTGAGTAATAAAAGCTTTAATAATTTTAGCTAGTCTTAAAAAGTTTTAAGAGCGAATAACATGAGAAAGAGAATGAGAGAATGAGAAAGTAAATAATTTTAGGGATAAAATCATAATATATATGTATATATATAACAAGTTTTTTGTGGGTATGGATATATGTATAATAGTTCTCATTTTTTTAAAATTTGAGGGTATGTCTAGGTTTATGTTAATAGTAATTTTTTTTTTTTAAATGTGAGGCCTACTCTCAAAAGGGCTGGATCCACCTCTATACGGATCTGGCCAACCGTGTACCAATATGGCCGTTTTCAGCCAAATTCATGGCCTTTAATGGCCACATCTGTAAATTGTTATTTATAATGTTATTAGGTGGAAGTACAAGGATAATAATGTCTTAAAAATATTGTATATAATGATAAAATAGTCTATGAACATTCTTGTAAATTGTTTTCAAAACAATGACATTATTGTCTAAAAATTTTAATAATTTGGGTAAATTGTAACAAAATTAAAATTACCAAGTAATTTTAGAATATCTAAGAAAATTATAGCATTTATATTACCACATATATAACTAACAGTAATTATTACTCTTAAAATACTTAAAAAAATTGTAACATTTATATTACCACCTATATAACTAACAGTAATTATTACTCCGCGCCCCAATGGAACACAATCTTAGGGTTTGGTTTGATGATAAGTTTGGTTTTACTATTTATGAACATGGATGAGAGTCAGAATCATAATCCTCTACCTATTTTTATCTGTTGTCATTCTACTTATTGATTGTCAGCGTACTCTATCATGTATTGACATTATGGTTACATGTATAATACCAAATTTTGAAGTAATCTTTTAGTTAATTTGGTAGATGCTAGTTTAATAAGGAAATGAAAGGGAAATATTGTCTTTCCAAAGTACACTTTGTGGTTCAATAATATTCTTCCTTATTCCATGTTGGAAAAAAGTGATTCAAATTTTAGTCATGTCTCATTCTTTGTTTCTTGTTAGGGGCCACATTTTTTTTTTTTTTTCCGTTTTTCAAATTATGTGTATTAATATTAAATGAAAATGTATTTTGATCTTCCAAGTTTTATACCCATTCGTGAATAACCCAGATAATTAAGATAAATTAGGGATAATATGAATAGATATATAGTGTCAGGTTCAATTCCCTATTTAAACATTTGCCATTTAAGTATAGAGTCATGGTGATAGATTACTATACTAATCTCCACCAAAGATTAGTTGAAGTGTACTAACATTTAGGTCACAAAAGTTTTCACAATATAACTTCTTAAATTTGGGAAAAAAGGAGAATTTAGATTACAATGAATTTAAATAAAACCAAGATTAAGATTTCTTGAAATTTTATTTAAATAATTCAAAACTTAATTTATCCTAATTCATATAAACTAATTTTAAATTGGGAGGAAATTACCAAAAAAAACCCAACCATAACCTTGCATTGATAAGGTAGTTGAGCTAATTACCCGGGTAATCATGTGGGCCTGACCCATTTAAGACTCAGTTTTACAACGAGAAATTAGAGCATACCGCGATAAATTTAAGGCAATGATAAATTGATAATATTGTCATCATCACTAAAACGGTAAAACCTGATAATTTCACGTATCCCCGTGACTGGTGGGGCCTGTCTCATCCGCTGACAATTCTTGATCACTAGTAGATTCACTACTAGGACAAGTTTTTAATTTTTTTACACTTACACCCCTCAT